TCGAAGCCAGAAAAAGGGCCTATAACTTTTGAAGTCAGACCCGATCCAGAATTAATTATCAAATCCGTCTTAGAGCACTTCCCATACTTGAAATTCCGAAATAGTTTCAGAGGAATTGATAATTATAATTTTGCATTACCTCAGCCGTGGAGCTCACCATGTCCTATTTGTGATGGAAAACATGGGAATTATGGATTACATGGCTCATGGTACTGCGAAAATGGGAATCAGCTCCCTTATGATCCTGAATTAGCGAAATTGTATTCCCAGGATAAGTTGGAATATTGTCTTACCTGCAACACTTCAAGCAATAAACTCAAGTTCGCGATTGTGGCTTAGACATTCGTTTACTGCACCACATTACTGCGCAATTACGTGTCCAGAATTTTCATTTTTGACATAAATAATCTACAACGCTTCTTGATATATCAATAATAGAAATAACATATGTCTATCAAGAAGCATACCCTGTGGTGATTAAAGATCGATGTGTAACGTGAGATGTCTTAGCAATCTATACATATTACATAACCCCTTTTCTAATTTTTTACACAAAATCAAAATGAGCGCACATTGGGATGTTTATTTCGACGAGACTTCACCTAAAGAATACCGCCTTTTAAGCTTTTATCAGCATCGTCAACAACAAGAGGATTTCACTTTTTCATTTCAAAAGGAAGCCAGCAGGCTCCGGAAGAGTTTAGATCTCCTGGTAAAGGAGGGTTCGGAAGAGAAGAAGGGTTATGTCAATCGGCTATTGCAAAACTTTGAGGCAAGTATATTTTCTTTTAAGTTTACTCTGATAGGCAGTATGAAAGACTTCCAGTAGTCCCGAGAAGGGGTAAAACTCACACAACTACGGTGAGCATCTTACGTGTTGCCTACCTTATGGTCTTACGCGTCCGTTGTGGTCTACCAAAATGTAGTATGGGAGACTTTCAGTAGTCCCGAGAAGGGGTAAAACTCACACAACTACGGTGGGCATCTTACGTGTTGCCCACCTTATGGTCTTACGTGTCCGTCGTGGTCTGCTTCACCAGTGGTTCCTTTCTTTTATGAGACAAGATTATAACAAATGTATAACAATTGTATTATTCTTTAGAATCATCGAAGTAAGAACACGGAGATCGATCGACTCTGGAATGAAGTTGAACGTGAATCTCTGGAAATAGAGCATGCCAAGGAAAAAAAACAATTGCAGTTGGACCAGGTCAATAATTTATACTTACTTTGATATTGTTAAATATTATGTGGCTAATAATTGTTCTGAATTGCAGTTGAAAATAGCTCGTGTTATGACAAAGGGAACTGAACATGGCGTTGGAAATATTATGGAAAACGTCAATATGGAGCTGGTATGGCAATTTACGTGTAACATTGTTAAAATGATCTACTAATTTAACAAACTTTTACGGTTTATTCGTAGGTCGAGTCAGCTACTTATCTTAAAAGAAGACGAGACGTTGATTACAAAGAAGATCGAGATGGGTACACTACGCCTTGTCCAAAAAGTTCAATGGTGAATAATCCGGAGGACGAACCGAAACCAAAGAGACGGGCTAAGACTGATGATAAGTCTTGCACCTCA